TCCATGTAACGTTACATGTAAGCGACGATAAACCACGACGTTACGCACAAACGAGCACGCCTCTCTACCGTTGCAGCTCGTTGTCGCGCGTTTCCACGCCATCGTCGTGCGATTCGTACACGGTAACGTGCACGTGCGAGTTTGGACGCACCTTAATGCTGCGCGCGTGGGTCGCCGCTCGGAAAAATGATCGCCGGATGCCCGATGCAGAAGTGAATTTCGCGATTCATTGGCGACACTCTATAGCGCACGTCGCACAGATGCTTTTTTCTTTTTTTTCGACGACGATCGAATCACCGCCGCTGTCTCTCACGGCGAGGACGAGTTCATCCCGACGCGTGTATATCGTCATATATATATATATATATATATATATATCGAATATATCGAATGTGATCGTTCGACACGATCGATACTGATTTTAATAAAAATCTCAACGACAAACAATCGGAGATTGTGAGATGGAAGATTGCACGACGGCGGCGATCGAGGTCGCGTAACGTCATAAGAGAGCACCGTGGCGCATATTTTTTTTATCTGACCCGCTACTTAGCCTCGCCCGAGAGCGGTAGTATCTCTTTGAATTAAACTTGTACCACACCATGTCGCGCGGCTTCTTGCTAGTTTTAGTGCCGTGCTTAGAGAGCACGAGTCCAAAGATTACCGTGGCTTTCAGCCGATTTGCATCCGAGATGCAACTATTTACTTTTACATACTCGCGTGTACATTTTTCTCGGCTTTACGTCCCTCTCAGCCGCTCAAGTCGCCCTTGCGATTCAGCCTCGCAGAGCTCGTTTCGCCGGGCGATCAAACGCTCCGGCTATTAATTGTACTCGCTCTTGTCTCTTGTGCCAGGATGTCTAACGGAACGTAGGCAAGCGTAGGCAAGAACCTGCGCGCGCGTGTATCCCCGATGATGCCGAGGCCGCAAGAACGCGCCCTCCCGCAACGCACCCCGCGCCGTTGATCTCCCTTAACCGCGATAAAAAAGAAATTCACGTGGAGTAACTCGACTCGTTCGCGGGTCGCAAAGCGGGTCGATCGCGGAGCGCGCGCGCGCGACTATGTGAATGACTCTTCCGGGGTGGGCGAGCGAGCTCGCGAGCTCGCGTTTCTTCGCTATACGCGCGCTATATTCAGCCGTTCTATCGCGAAAAAGAAGCTAAAACTTGGAGGTGACTCGCCGTCGTCACCTGGGCGACGGGTGGATGACGACAACGACCATGACGACCATGACGACCGCTCTCGTCTTTAAGCACGCGCGCGCAACAAAGAGGGCGAGACACGCGGCTCCAGCGGATTCCCGTGGGCGAATGCGGGTTTACTGCGATCCCGCAGTGTACATAGGGGCGCTTTGGCATGCGGCGATGCGCGACGATGCTACAACGGCCACGTGTTTGCCGATTATCACCGGGGGGATAGAGAGGTAAACACAATTTTGCCCCACCACCTTAATCATCGCGCGTACGCGCGACACGAGCAATGACGTATACAATTCGCATCCTACTTTGATTGTTGCGATGGGACAAAATTTGTAGTTTCGGACAGCCCCGAGATCTCTATGTATATACGCGTCTCGGTTCATCTGCGCGGCGACATTTCATCGACCGAATATATCGCTCGATCGCGCTTACACTATGGCCGCCGCGGGCGGCGTCACTATAAATTTGTTTACAAACTTACAAGCTAGCGCTAGCGCGTATATTCGCCGAGCAACGTTAAATGCCACAGATGTTTGAAGTATAAGTCGAAGCGACGCGAATCGCTACGCGATGATCGCACGAATTCTGTGTAGGTGATGTCTTGTAGGTACGAGACCTTAACGCCGCGACGTAAAGAGAAAGAGGGAAAGAGAGCAAGGAAGCAAGCGGTTGTCTTAAACTATCAATCTTCGGCTTCACGCGCCGAATGGAACAGTTGGTGGTCAACGTACGTTGTACTATAAACGCTGTACGTGTTGTATGTTATAAATTAAATATCAATCTTACCTTATATCATCAGTATATGTTGCAGTCTGTACTCTCCGCGGCACATTAAGCACATGGTTTATCGCTTTTTCATACAGCGCCAACGCGAATCGCAAACGAGCCTGATGTTCCTTAATGATGCCAATCGTCTTACAATCTTTGAGGTTAGCTTCTCGACCGACACGATCGTTTCGAATTTTTCGGATCTACCTGACCTCTGTCTGTTTCTTCTTTTGCGCGAGATCGATGACAAAATTGATGCGCGTATTGTTTGTTATATATGCGCCACAACAATACGTACCACAACGGCGGGTGTACCTCGAATATGTACATTATATTGCGATAAAATTCGAAATATCGAATATCTGTGGTGTATTATTGTGCTTAGATGTCACCTTGTCGCCCGGCTAACAAACGGTATTCGAAAGTGACGTAGCGATCTCTCTCTCTCTAAGCGCGAGTATTCTACTCGGGCTGCATGTCATCTACGACGACGATACGTCCTCGGGATGCACCTGTGCATGCACGGCGCATAACGCTCTCTTCGCCGTAACTCGGCGACATAACGCGGCGGCCCGCGTGGCTGACATCCTCTATCTCGGAGTGCTCGTAAAATCGAGCGGCCCTAAAACCATGCGCGTATCCACGTGTGTGTGTGTGTGTGTGTGTGTGTGAGACTCGGCTGACTCGAATAGTGAAGGAATAGCGAATAGTTCTCTCATTCTCTCACACGAATAATAAAGAAGGTGAAGAGACGGGACATCCGAGTCGCGCGCGAGCACACACGGCTCGTATATCCTAACCAAACTTGCTTATCCGCAATCCGGATGACGGAGATGACGCAGAGACCTCCCACGGACAGGAAGACAAAAACTTCTTTCTGCGAAAATTCTGCGTGAGTTTTCAATGCTACGGCGAGAACCGACCGTGACCGAACTGAAACGAGAGAGAGAGAGAGAGAGAGAGAGTCACGTGACATGCGCGTTGTGTTTGAATCTACACGTACCTGCGCGCACTGACATTCTTACAAGCACACATAGTCTATGTCGATTGAAAGTTCTTCGAATCGTACCGAAAAAATCCGACTCGCGTACATGTCTCGGGTATATGTGAGCCGAGAATGGAGAACGATCGATTCTCTTCCGGACAATTCGAGCGCGTCAGTCGTAGGTTGATTGACGCGGCGGACGCCGCGTAATTTAGCGACGAGAAACAACCAGAGGAATCGAGCTGTTCGCGAACGCGGAAACAGAGGCAACAGAGGGAACAGAGGGACGAGAAAGGGAAAACGGCGGAACGGCGGAAAAAAGGAACGGAATAGGGACGATTTCGCGAAGGTAAGATGTCCGGCGTCGCAAGACTGGTTAAACAGGTTATCACTTTATAGCCGTCGTAAAGAGATTTTAAATTTCGCGGTACATGCCCGTGCATTCCCGCCTCGATCGTGTCGTCCTTTTTCTCGCTTTTCGGTCGTTTCACCGAGTTCATAGAGCTGCACGCGCGCGCCGATCGGACCAATGGGCAAGCCGGTTTCTTCGTCCCGGCCGCGGCGCGGCGGGCACGGCGAGCCGACGCGTGTACCCACGACACGACGAGCGCGGTACTTTCCCGGTGAGTAAAACTTTGCACGAGCAGTTTAATCTCTAATGAGATCCTCTTCGCGATCCTCTTTCGTCTCATACAGTCACGATGCGACGTCAATGCGTTTCTAGTCAATCGCGCGTCTAGTCTAATACAATAGACGAATCTCAACAGTCATGTCGCGTTAGCGACAGGTACAAACGCAGTCGCCATGAACGGCAATTTCGTTCAAAGATCGATCGAAAGTATCGTCGCTCAAGAAGATCGTCATTAATATTTCTTTACGATAGTCGCTAATAATGATGAAACTCGATGTACTATTAATCACCTCTCATTGAAGATTGCGAGTCTCAGAAATTAAAGGAATTCTCTCAAGGTACAATATATAAATATTTATATATTGGATATATACTTACCGTACAGAGAGTTATAAAACGCGCCCGTAAAAATGTTCCCGTATGATATGCACGTACACTCTTCATCGCACCACGTAAGCTCTATATAGAGGAAAATATATTTTTATAACCGCATGCATGATATATCACTCTCTCACTCTTGATACGTACACACACAATAAAGAAAAGCCGCGTTTATGGTAGATATTTTATTTCCAACTTAGGAACTGAAATGCCCATATAATAAAAAATATTTATATATTGTAATAATTATTATTATTAAAGTGGGAAAACGAGGGTTACGCTAAAATCGCTCTGCTAAGTATACAAAATGAAGAGAAAACTCGCAAAAACGGAAACAATCGTAGACTTTTAGTCGAAAACATTCTTTCTCTCTTTAAGATTCTCTCGCGGCTCATTCGTTCGTTCGTCGATAGGAATGGGATCAAGTCCGACGTGTGTTTTCGATAAATCTCAGCTAATTTCATATACTCAAGTATTTTCAAGTGTCACCCAAGGTCACGAATAGCGTTTACAAAAATCGCGGATATATTTTTCTTACATTTGCAAAGAAGTTACTGTAATAAAGTGTTAAAGTGGAGTTAATTATACACCAAACGTCTCGGCTACCATCTGAAATCGAGTTCGAGTTCGAGTTCGAATTTACTTCGAATTTATTTCGAAACAGAAATAAAGGATGTTTTGTCGATACATTGAGAAAGACATTTGTGCCTTTCGCAAAGTACGGATCCAAAGGTTTTTCGACTGCCTTAAAACACAAACGCGCTCGGAAATATTTACATAGAATTGTTTGCGATAAAAAAAGCCTCGAATACACATGGAGAGACATATGTTCCGAAGTTTTGTGTATTAAAGATTCGAACACACCGCAGACGCAGTGTCGTTGTGTACTGCTTGAAAGCGCACTCGATTCCATTCCTATTCCTCGAATTCGTTTTAATACGTTCACGCACTCACACATACCCGTTAAAAAAAAGGAAAAAGACTCGAGGTTTATAAAACGACCGCGCTAACAGAATAAACGAAAAAAATCATATAAAATTTCCACATGGAATTTTGCACATTGTGTTATTATTCTTTTATTTTTCTCTTAGATTCGCGTCTACCTTTTCCTTAGTCTCTCTAAACTCGTTAAAGGGGCTCGTCAAAAGCATATACAAATGACCATTGTCATTGTTCGATTTCGTAGTCGCTATCTAATCAGATTTTTTTTTTCTTTATGGCACGTAGTCTCGTACAAGCCCTTCTCCTTACCGGAGATTCGACAATATCCGCATTTGTCGTCTTTCTCTCTCTCTCTCTCTCTCTCTCTCTCTCTCTCTCTCTCTCTCTCTCTCTCTCTCTCGCCAGCGTTCGCTCTCTCCGTCGCGCTGCACGAACCCCTACGATATTACAACGAATCGCAACCATAACGGACCCGTATTCGACTTATTTCTTTTCTTTTATACACACACTAGAACCCGGGGAGTCCTTCTTTTATCTCTCGTTTTTACTTTTTTTTTTCTTTAATATACGGTTATCAGACTTGGACGTGAAGATCTATGTTAAGATCGTAGTTCTTTCGGGCGATCGCGCCAAAGATCCACTGGTACCCAACAACGCCCGTTAAAGCTCTTTTCATTTTTTTTTTCTTTTTACGAAAGAGACTTACAATAGAATTTTTTCGTCGCATAGCACCATTTTGAAGAGCAAAATTCGCGACTCGATTCGACTCGACTCGCCGGAACTTTCGCCGCGATCTTTACAAAAATAACAACAGTGGTGGCATCGTCTCGTTAGCCGGCGCTCGCGCGCTACAAATCGATAATTCTGTCTTAGACTCGTTGAATACCACTGGAGAGAGGCTGGTTATCAATCAGCCGCGGTCTCGCAATCGGCGCCAAAACGCCTACCTGATTATCACGAAAGAACCATCCGAAAAAACGTGAACAATTCATACTCTTGAAAGACATCAATATAGAAATCTGATTTACTTTTTTTTTCCTTCGCCAAAACGATCCGAGAAACGGATCGTTTCTCTTGTACGTCTCAGAGTTACGAATGCTTTAACGTTACTCTCATATTAATTATTTTTCTTCTTTTGATCAGAGTATCCTAAAACGAACAAATTCTATCAATATGTCTACATTTAACATGGATATATCGTCGGTAAATTCTTTTTCCTGTTTCCAAAGTATTGTGGCCCGCGATGTTCGATCGCATTCGGCAGCGATCGCTTAACAATCAAGCCGATTTCATAAATTTCCGTGAAAATTAAACGGAAAAGTAGTTGTACCGTATACTTTCTCTCTTTCTCTCTCTCTCTCTCTCTCTCTCTCTCTCTCTCTCTCTCTCTCTCTCTCCCTCTCTCTCTCTCTCTCTCTCTTTTCTAGTGTCGCATTAGTTAGGAAACGAAAGATTGTCACAAACTTCTTCCGAGTGAAAAGAGACCATCAGAAATATTCTGCAAAATATCGTTTCGTCTCTCGTAAGGAAACAGCGATACGACAATCGTTGGCCACACGAGCAAGAGACAGCCTGTACACTTACTAAACTTAACTCTTTACGTAATGTTGAAAGATAATGCAGTAATTATCTAACTTAATGATTTACGTAATTATATACACTATATACATGGTCGCTGCTATAACATTGCATGCGTGCGCTTATCGTTAAAAGTGACTACAGATCGGTGTGTATGTGTGTGTGATTGTGTGTACGATTGTTGTTGTATTGTTTTTCTTCTTTTATTATATAATGAAAATTCTCTAGCTTACACAGTACATAGGGTTCTCGCGAGCGTTACTACATAAGATTTACCATTACACAGTAAACAATTATACGTTCCGATGATCCGTCGGTCCAGCGTTCGCCGTTTGCCTTGCCTCGCGCCGGATTTATCACATCGTACATCGAATAAGAACCAAAATGCGCCTTGCCAAATAAGAACAAAAAATGAACAGAAAATCGACGACCTTGCGACAACTGATACGTACATATCCGGGAGCGTTAAGCGAAAAGAAAAAGAAACGAAAGCCCAAAGAGAGGCCCCAACGGAATGCCCGAATCTCTCCAGTACAACACCGAAAATGCAAAACTTTCTAAAACGCAATACCTCGTCTCGCTCGACCGCCGCGACTGAAACTTAAATTCGCAACAAACGCGCGTAAATGGTTTAAATAAAATAAACACGTAAAAATAACGATTTTTTTCCCCCCTTTCGCGGCATAATTTCATTTACTGCACTTCCTCGAACGGTAACACACGGTCGCATTTTTATCACAGGGTTTTTTTTTCTCTTAATATCGATAATCATTCGGAATCTCGTCCTCGACGAAGAATGAACGAAGAAACATCGTACACGCTGCTGGACTAACGTATTATTGCAACTCGTCAAACGCGCGGACGCGCAACACGTTGTATTTCACGTGGACCACGTGACGTGACTGCGCGCGAAGACACACATCATCTTCTGAAAAAACCGCGTCAGGCTGTCGTAATCCCATTTTTATCTTCGCGCAAAACTTCTCAGGATTAATCCTTGTTCTATCGCAGACAGACGAACACTGTGAATAACTCTGGTCACTAACTCTGTTACGTAATCGAAACTGCTGCTGGAAACGACGCGACGTGTGTGTGTGTGTGTGTGTGTGTGTGTGTGTGTGTGTGTGTGGTCGAACGGGGTATGTAACGTCGTGTCAGGTCGGGTAATCTCATGCGTATCGCCGTCTTCACCGTGACTATGCTACATCATCGGTGTCGATCGCTAAGAATTCTCGCTCGCTGCGCCTCAGAAACGTATGATTCTACGCGGCAGATGCGAGACAATCCGACGGATCCTTTCCTCTAGCGTACGAGAGCGTCCTTCGCTTAGCCGGAAACCCTACATGAGATCCCTTGTCTACTTAGACGTCGGGGCGGCCGGCTGATGCTGCCCCGTCATCCCCAGTCTTGGTTGCGAGGAAGCGAGTAGTTCCTTGTAATACGCGCTGAACTCTGGCGGTAGAAACGTCGTCGCGGCCGTGGGCGGAATTGGCGGCGGGAAGAGGCCCGCGTTGTAGAACGCGGAGTAGTACATGGGGTCTAGGATCGGTAGGAACTTGCCGGGCGTGTTTGGCAGTTGCGGCAGAAAAGCGGGATTGCTTTGCGGCACCGTCGGCACGAAGCCGGACGGTATGTTCGGTACGCTGTGCCGTCGACCGACCTCACTGTGCCTGGATTCTTGCTGTTGTTGTTGTTGTTGTTGTTGCTGCTGTTGCGTTGCCACCAGAGTCTTTTCACCCTCGCTGATCCTGCGCTGCTGCTCCCTGACAACCTCCGCCGCGGCTTTCCTCCTGTCGATACTACTCATTTGCTGCTGCATCGTCGCGTTCACTCGGGGGAACGGATGGCCGCTGTGATTTAGATGATTCAAATTAGGTACGTTCGGTATGACAGGGTGAATCGGCTTTCTCGGAGTGTACGGTGAGACCGGCTCGTTCCTCACTGTGTACTTTCCATTTATTTGCGGCGGCGGTGGCGGTGGCTGCGGTTGTTGTTGCTGCTGTTGCTGCTGCGCTTGCCTCCTCTGCGCACCGCTGCTGCTGTGCATCGAGTTGCTTTTGTTAGGTGGACTCGGTACCTGCACGTGAGACGGCGTATTCAGATGGTTGTTCTTCTGCTTGGGATTCACGAGTGTGATCTCGAGGTTGTTCGAAGCTATGGTTCGACTGTCGATTACGTTTTGATAGGCGGGAAAGGGCACTCGCTTCGAACAGTCAGCGGGTTTGTCAGCGGGTTTGCTCGCGGGTGGGTTTCGCACTTCCAGGTTCAACGGATTAGGCCTCGGCACTACAGGTACTCTAACTATTTCTAAACTGGGCCTGGGGAAGGTCGGTTTTTCACTAAACTTTTGTGTCAGATCGAGAACACCTCCGTGTCCGGTGTCATTGTTACCGCTCGAATGTAGATGTTGCAGACGTTGTTGTTGTTGTTGTTGTTGTTGTTGTTGCTGCTGCTGCTGCTGCTGCTGCTGCTGCTGCTGCTGCAAGTGCAGATGCTGATGCGACGAACGATATTTTGGTGGGACAAAAATATCCTTCGGATTTCCATAAACTGTCCTTTCGTTGTGCACAAATATCGACCTCGACTGGGTGACCTTTGGTGGCGGCAGTCTGCCGTTCGGAACGTTCGGCGGTATGAAGCGATTGTTGGCTTGCGCGGCTGCAAAACTCGACGGTGGCGGGACGTTTGCGTTTGCGTACAGTTGCAACAGTGCGGCGTTGTTTGAATTACCGAGGTTTATCACCCGACTGTTCACCATGTTGTTGTTGTTGATCGTATTGTTGTTATTATTGTTGTTATGATGAACCGGTTGTTGCTTGGACGCCGCCGCAGGCAGTACTCGCGGCTGATGGTGATTCCCATTATGGTGATGTTCCTGCGGCGACGGTAACATATGACCAATGTCGGGCGTCACGGTGACGGATATCAGTTTAGGAATGGAGTTGGGTGTGATCGGCAATGGATATGAGATCGGTGGCTTCTCTTCGGATGACTTCATCGTGGCTGGCGCCGGTGGTGGTTGCTGCTGCTGCTGCTGCTGCTGCTGCTGCTGCTGCTGTTGCGTAACGTTGCTCTGAATCACGCTCGGCCGCGCGTCCAAGTCAACGGCTGTGACCTCGAGACCGCCTTCGCGCAAGATCTCGAGTTTGCGCTTCTTGAAGCTGGGAATGATAATCTTGTCCCTGCTCGTATCGTTTTCCGTCTCGAGGTCGATGACCTCGGGCGACCTGGACGGCGGTACCACCATCGTCTTCTCCGCGAAGATAGACTTCTCGCCGAACAACGGTATGTTCTCCTTGCCTTGCGCCAGCAGAGTGGTCTGTTTGGCATCCAGCTTGATCTCTTTCATGTCCTTCTCCGGCGGCGGCGTCAGCGTCACGACCGTCGACGCGTTCGTCCCTACGGTGGTTACAGGCAGGCTCGGTGGCGAACACGATGGTGGAACTTGTTGGGATATCAGAGGACTGTTGAGCTGCCTTTCCAAGACACTTTGATTAGCGGTGCCGTGGTTCGTGGGTGTCGTGGAGGGTGTGCTGCTAGGCGTCGAGACAGACGTGTTGGAGGAGGGCGGTGGGCTTGGCAGTTGGATAGCTTGCTGGCTGGAGGGTATCGCGCTATTGGCAATCATGGTGTTGAGCGACTTGAGACGTTCCGGCTTCACTCGCACGCTACGTAAGGAGGACGTTTTGCCGGCCTCGGCTTTGGGCTTCTCGCTCGAGGAGAGCAGAGTCTGCAAACGCGAGAAACACGTCACAAGAAATTCGACAATTCGAAGGCCAGCATCACAGCCTCGCGGCTGATTGATTCAGCCGCGATCACTCACCGTCGCTGCTGACATTATCGGTTGCAGAGGTGATGTCGTGGTGGTCGCGGTGATCGTTTCTACGGGTGGAGGTGTCTCCGAGGAGTATGGATCGCTAGGTTCCTCCTTGATGTCTGAATCCTCCGACACACTCGTGCTCTTGGTACGTCGCCCGTGGTTTAGTTTTATCTTCGTGTCTTCGCCTTTCTGATACCTCTCGTAGGGCAACAGCAATCTACGAGAGACTTTGTTAACGCACCGGCACAAATTGAACGTCTTTACTGTGAAAAGTGAGCTAGAAAGGTGAGGAAAAATTCACGACCAAATACTGACGGTCGAAGTAAAAGCACGAACGCGAGACAAGAGCTTGTAATAGAGCGCGTAATATAGTCTCACCTCTCGTAATGTCTGCGTGTAGTGGTCGCAGCGTTGGTTGACGTCGTGCTGCCGCCGATGTCATCATAGATCGTTTTCCAAAGGCGACCGGTGCTGACCGAGTCGTAGCCACCGAGCATTTGCACCTTCGTATAGAACAGGAACAGATCGACTGTGGACAAGAGAAAAGGGGAGATGTCGTTAGAGGGACGCGCGTCGGAAGAAATATTCGTGCGATTGCGACTGCGATTTTTCGGGACAAGGAAAGCCCGCTCTGTGTGTATGCTAGCTCTCCGCAAATCGTCTGGCGACAAGGCCGTTTTACGCGAGGTACGAGAATTTGCGAGGGATCTCGGTAGAGGAGGAACATTCCGAATTTCCGATCGTACACGATTGTGTCATGACGCGCGGATACCAAGGGAAAAGAGTTCAAGAGACGAGATACTGACTCTGCTTGTTGCCTAGTAGTGGCATCTTTCCGAACGGCGTACCCCGAGAGTTCATGAAACCCTGCACGTCGATGATGAACTTTTTCTCCTCCGCACTGGTGTTCCTCTCACTTCGGCGCACCGCGGACGAGGGTGGTCTGCACACCGTGGGTATCACCAGGTTGGTACTCGCCAACGTACTCTTCGACGCCGACGCGACAGAAGCCTCGCTCTCGTTGCTCGACTCCGGTGAAGCGCTGCGCTTTTTGCGTTTTCTTCTTGGTCTGCCCTTCAGCTTTGGTGCTGCAAATTCACACAGTAGGCGTATTAAGACTCGCGTTGAGACACGCATCCTTGTGATCCTGCGTTTTACCCAGCTTACAAATTACGGGCAAGTGTGCATTTGCTTTGGAAAGATTTACAAGAGACCATCTGAACAGGCCACACACGATCAGGTTTCTATCTTGAGAGTAAAGAATCTTCAAGTTTGACTTTTCTCGCGCGGCGTTCGGATTATCACGGATTATATCGTATAACATTTTATATAATATTTAATATATAACATATAAATCGCTCGTGTACAAATTTTAATAGCCTCGTTTTAAACATGTTAAAACAGTTAACGCTTAACTGGATTGAAGAAATATTATATATATATATATATATGTTTTAAATAGTAATCGTAAGACTGTAAGATAATATAGTAAACAGGCCCGTTAGCTCAAACACGTCGCAGTAGCTACAAGGCCGAGAAACATGGGATTTATTTTGATGTGATATAACTCGTCGCTGATAAACAGGTCCGGACGTGAAAGTTACTCGAAAGTTTGTAGTAACGCGAATTCGAGATCAATCATTTCCGACTTTATTAATTTAATCATTCAGCGGAAGTTTGCAGATCTTCGTAACAGATATGCGCGCATCGTAAGACTCGCGTAATAATGTTGCACCTTCACACTCCGTGCTATTTACATGCCTTGTAATCACCATTAATTTATCTTTAGGCGAAATCTTAATTGCCTTGATTTTTTATATTTCTTACTTATTCGGAATGTATCGTTCAAGCAAATTTGTCGTGGAGATGAGAGAGAGAGAGAGAGAGAGAGAGAGAGAGAGAGAGAGAGAGAGAGAAAGAGAGAGAGAAGAGAAACGTTGTTACTCATAGTAATACGGTAAATATCGGTAATTTTTGTGGTAAAATACATCTCTTCAAGTGAATATCTTGGCACAATGCGAATGCTCGAGCAGTTTTACGAACGGAACGGAACGGTATTATACTTGGATCGATATCGATTAAACAATTTGACGTCGCGTGTATCCGGCTGACGACACGTGTGTACAACGCACATTCGCAGCGGAACGGAATCGAAAACGCGAGAGCCAACACACGACGCGAGCCGATTTCCCGCCTGAGACCCCGTACGACGATCCATCGTCTTACCGTGTATGCTCAGGTACACCACTTGATTGTTCCGAATTTTCATCACGATAGCCATCGCGCGTTCGTCCGATCCGTCGCGAAGATCCGACAACTTGAGGCACAAAGACGCTTTATCGCGGTCGCGCAGCGCGAGATCAACGTCGATGTCGGATAGCGCGTTCGGCAAAGCAGACGGCTACAAAATAGCTTCTTGCGCGCACCGAGAGCGTACGAGAGCCCCGACAAAAATGTGGTGACGGACACGACAAACAAAACAAACGATGTCGTGGTCACTGGTCGCGGCGGATCGCGAGTTGCACCATCGGATGCGCCGGCGCGCGCGTCAACCACCGGCGGACTCACGTGAGCCTCATCATGCGCTCGTAAGCACTAATCAGCCGCCTTGCCGAAATGAAATTTTCCGCGACGTATCGCGTACTACAGTCAACAGGATCAATTAGATCGCGCGACACGGCCACGTGGTATATCTCAGCTGTATACACTCACACATACACACAGGGGAGGTCTACTACATCGCACGTCCGTGACGTACACAACAGACACAAGATATACTCGCAATGCTGCGCTCGCGTAATCAAGCTGCGTAATCGCGAGTTAAAGCGAGACAAGAAGCACAGAGATGAAAAAGATTCGGCCAGCACTTGGTAACTTGGGCGAGCGAATCTCGCGCGAGGATCAAGGCAGCTCGACCGCGACTTTGAGCGAACACTTCGATCGCGCTGAACGGGATCGCGATGAATGGGTATCAACAAAGAAAGCACGGCAAACGCGAGCTCGTCGACGTTGTTTACGATTTTTCCACCGGTCGATTCGAGTGCAACTCGAAAGAGCGTGTGTTCGTCGCGTGCGTGCGTGCGTGCGTGCGTGCGTGCGTGCGTCGGCATCGGCATGCGCGCGTTCCCCTCGCTTCGACGAATTACGTGCGAGCGAGCGATGCGTCGGAAGCGACAAATGCGAGCTATGACGGACAGAGATCCGTCGAGCCGGCGAGTAATACGATCCAGCGTAACCTTTCCACGGCGTTCGCGCTGTCCAGCCCTTATCTCGTTACAGCCTTCGAAATTGTTTCCGCGTCGAGTGCGCACCGCGACGAAATACAGCGTTATAGGTCGCCCGGTTTTTTGTTCTTCGCCGCCGAGATCTAGATTAGCCGAGACGGCTCATCTGTCATAAAGGGAGTCTCCCGCTTTTGTGTTCGTCGATACCGCGGCAATTTTCTCTGTACTGCGTTATGCATCATTTCGTAAGCACGGAAAGAAAGGAATCGAAAGATTACGCCTGCGCTCGATTCTCCGTCGTTTTACGTCTCCTTGTACTTTTATAGATGTTTCAGAAACCTCGGGAAACTGAATTTATCGTTACGGGAGGAAATAACTTGAAAATACACCCATCGAGATGAGAGAGAGAGAGAGAGAGAGAGAGAGAGAGAGAAAAAAAAAAAAGAGAGAGAGAAGAGAGAGAGAGAAGGAGGGGAGAGGAGAAGCGCTTTATGTTAACGACGCTTGTTACATCAGAGATATCAATTACAATTGTTGATTTGATTGTACATTACGAAAATATATACAACAATATCGTGATACTTGTGACGTATTATATTACAATGGGTCGGAAATACGTAAGGGGCTTGAAATACGTAATTGGATCGCCCGGAAACGTCCTCTGCTTTATAATTTCGTTTTTAACTTGTAATTTTACCATTTCTCGCTACGCCCGGATACACGCGATCGATAGCTCGTCGTGGCGCTTTGCATTTTTTTTATTCCACATCGAGCTAGTTATTGATCCCTCGCGAAAGAGTATATATATATATATATTTCATCCGAAAAATTTTTCGAAATAAAAGTTATTATACAGCATGCCCAGTCAATCACAGCACAACCGGCGGCGAAGCGATTGCCGTTGGAAAAAAAAAAAAAAAAACAAAAATGTCAAAGATATAGAGTGAATTTTGGTCGTTTGGTCGCGTGGTCTTTGAGAAGAATCATACCGAATGCAAATATGCGTGTATCGATTAGAATATGTTTCAACATCGTTGCAAAAGGATTTTTAACAATAGAGATGCATCTCGTATTGTGCATTCGTGCATTCGCGCGAATGTTTTTAAGAGATTAATGAATATTTATAACAGACTCGGATGTATCTCTGGAATATCATATGTTGTACAAGATATCATACGAAGACACGTACACACACACTACGTACAGACTACACGACTAAGATGTCGTGTACGAAACGAAATCTAAGGTCGTACGTATATAACAAGTGTTGCCCGAGTCTATAGATACACATACCAGGATCAAATACCGAGGCGTCTCGAACACAAAGAGTAAACTCGCCCGGGTATATTTCTTCAAGTTTGCCTTTGTATTGGAAACGTCTCGCATACTCTCACACACTGTCCCCGTGTATCGATTGTTACCACATTTGAAAAGTACACACAATCACGAACAAATGATTTCTCCTTATTCGAGAATTTTCATTTTACGTCGCTCTGTCGACACGACGAGGAAAATTCTCCTGTCGTCGAGGAATCCGCGATTCACAGGAAGTAATTTGTGGCTTCCAACATGAAAATAAAATCCGCGGAGGATTGAGTTGGAGGCAGCAGCGGTCGCGAATACACACCTAAGTGATTGCACAAGAGCTCGTGGGTCTCGAGGTCGGGATAGTCGAAGGTGTCCCTGCAGAAGAGCACCCTGGTGCCGGGCGTCGCGGTGAAGCCACCTAACGCGGCTGCGATGGACGAGCATAGCCAGGAGGGCTCGGCCCCCTCGAGTCTACGCAGGAGCGCTCGGTACCGGCAATACCTGGGGTACGAGAGTACCACCACCTTGGTCTGGAAGCTGCAGTCCGATCTCCTGGTGGAATTCAGGTTGCTCTCGTATTCCTTCTGCTGCTTGTCGACGTCCGAAAAGTCGATCCCCGGGTCGGTGAGTACTTGCGGCTGTGGCATCTCGTATCTCAGCGGGCTCGTCTCCGGGGAGGACGTCGGGGTCGTCGGGTAGAATACCTCTCGACCCCATGACCACTCCAACGTGGGCGACAGCCACGTGACGAGATCGTGAACACGGACGACCACCTTCTCCGAAATCGTCAGCACCTCGTCCTGCAACGAGAAACGTTTCTCATAAACGACCAATTATATGCACGGACAACATCACATTGTCAGTATAAATCTCAGCAATGTTGCTGCGAGAGTAGTTAGGGGTAGGGGAACTTTCTCGGAAAAGGAAAATTAGTTGCACATTGTTTTTTCTTAACAATCTCGATCGAGAGCGATCAACAGAGAGGAGCTTTACCCCGCTAGAGAAGCGACAGCGACAAGCGACTTTCGTTTTATCGCGCGAGCGCGACGAACTTACACCTGGTGGAGACTCGTCGGCAGGTAGCGCGTGAGGTAGCGGACAACTTGCGCGGTAACTCGGCGGCTTTGGTCGGAAGTCACGAAAGATCTTCCCGGTAGGATTCCCGTTTACCTACGCGAGCAACGCGTGTCGGCGCGGTGTGGTGTGTACTCGACTCGCGCTTACCGACTTCCAATTCGAGAAGTAGCTCACTCTACGTGAGAACGTCGGGCACTTTTGCGAGCACGCGAGAGCTTTCCGCGCGCGGATACAAAGCCGTCCGCGATATAGTGTGCTCGTAAAACAGTCTTTTCCTTCCCACTCCTCGGCTGCTATATATATATATATATATATATATATATATGCACATAACCCACTGGTTTATGCTACACCTCGAGTCTGCATCGTTATCTACTCGGTCTGTCTCTACGGTAATTTAATTGTTCGCCGGTGCTCGTCGGCGGAGCGACGTCATTTTCGCCAAGTTTGACTTACTACTTGCCCATATGCATCTCTCTCTCCTCCTCCCTCTGCTCTTTCCGCATTAAACGCATAAATTATTATCGCTCGTTCGAGCAGAGTTCGAACACTTACGCAACTCTGACGGTATCGTATGTACACAAGTGATGTGATTCCGCGTTGTACATGCGTAAACGTTCGTTTAATTAGCGATGCGTCTATTTATATCGTCGTTTGTCTGCTACATGCGCGATCGGAAGTAACGGAAATTATAAGTGTAATTACATTGCGCGCTCATTAATTGAGTGTTTAGCCTCTCTCTCTCTCTCTCTCTCTCTCCTCCCGCTCTCTCTAAATCGCGAACGATGATAACAATTATCCGAACAATTTTTGTTCCATTTGTCGAATCTCATGTCTGTGACAGACGCGATAGTAATTAATAATTACTACAGGAGTCATATATATATATATATATATATATATATATATATCACGTGCCGTTTCGTCGAAATCTTTTGGCTTTATAGCGCAAACGAACGAAAACAATTTTCTCTCGTGTTTCCGGATGGCGGCTCTTTCTCCGTGGCTATCGACGCGATATATAATTCGATAAATTTTCCGCCCGGCTGAAAATCCGCACTGTAAGGTGGACACGCTCTTTCGGTAATTGCGCAACGCGCCAACCAAAGTGTGATTTACCTCGTACACGCCCATGGCGATTTTACACGGCGGGATAGCGGAAGATAATTTATTGGCGTTGCAATATCTATCGGGCCGAAGTTCGGAAACGACTTTATTTATACGTGACATAATGTTCTATTTGGCTTGGGAGCCACTGTTGCCCGGGTTATACTTTCATCTTTTAGCTCACTCTCTCCCTATGTGTGTGTTCCCGTCCGTATTCCCCAACCCCTCCATACAACCCCCTTCGCTCTGCTCCTCCCGCCCGAACCCACCCTCCTTCATCCGAGAGAGTCTTCCAATAGTAGTTTCCCTTCTACTATAACCTTTCTACCGGTCGGCTTCTGTCGTCTCACTCCATCGTCATCCTCCCTTTCGTTCTCTCCTCCTCAACCCCTTTCTCGCTCCCCGTCTTTGTCTCATCCCGCCTTTCCCTCCTCCTCCTCCTCCTCCTCCTCCTCCTCCTCCCTCCTGTTCCAGCATGCTCTCAACCCCCCTTATCCCGCCATACGCCTCATTCCGTCGTCCCCACTTATTCGCTCACTGTGTTTCTCCCCGACGTGTGTTTCCCGTCTCGTTCCCTCTCGACCACCGATGCTAGCGATGGGCCCGATCCAATTCCCGAGCTGTAATTTTCAATCGATTTGCGAGCGACTCTCTGTCTCTCTCCACCCATCGCTCCCTCCCCCCTCCCCTCCTCTCTCTCTCTCTCTCTCTCTCTCTCTCTCTCTCTCTCTCTCTCTTTTATACACTCGCCGAAAGCCATTGACAGACGTTAGAACAATCGCCGTTCAATCTGATAAATAATCGAATTGCGCTCACGTGTCGTATCGCGTTTAATTGCTCAACGTTGATTCCACGCGCGCCACTAAACACGCTCTAAAGTTGCAATTTAACGATAGAAAAATCGGCGACTCTTTGAAAATCTAGCAGTCTCGCGTTACCGCGATGTTACAAATTCGTCGCACAATTCGCGTCGCAGATTACAGTAATATCGTCGGGATGTGATATCGTCAAAATCTGTTTATTATGTAAAATGCAATTGGGAATTGGAATATATACGGAATTCGGCTTCGTGTATTTTGCGCGTATTGATTTAACGGAATTAATGAAATATGTTGAATAGATATCGGGAAGAGACCGCTCGAAAAATATTTTAACGTACGTCTCTCGATGTGGATTGAAAATTACGCAACTCTCTTCCCGCTTATTAATTATTACGTCGTCGCTGGAGGATCAGGCGCGCACGCCACGCAAGTGCTCGTGATTTCACAGCCGTTTTGTGAACAAACGAATCCATAATCGCGAAATTACACGTTTACTTTGCCGATGTTACGATAACTCACGGTCAGCTCTGTGTCTACGCGAGGCAGCGCGCCGAGTGCGAGAGGTTAATTCCACGGAAGAAAAGGTCGCGACCTTTGTAGCCGCGACTGACCTTCCGTATCGGTACTTCGACGAAAAAAAGTATCGGTACCGTTTGGATCACGCTTGATCCCATCGCTACGTCCCCCCCCCAACCCGCGCCTCCGCAACGACTCGTCCCGTCTCTTTCGTGTCCGGGCGAATCTCGACGCTGAAAACAGAACCCGACGCGAAAACGTGTATCTCTGTTAATTCCCTTACCTCTCTTAAACGACCTCAACCCTTCGACGTCTATAACGCGACTGCTACCGATTGAAAAATTTTACGTATCTCACCCCCTGCCCAATCCCCCCCGGTCCAATCCTGTTTCGCGTTTTTTCGCGAAAAAGTTGCCTCGTCGTTATTCCGTCCGGCGTATCGTGAATTTTCTCCGCTTTCGGAATCGATTTATTACGAACGATTTCACGGAAGTGTGTCCGGCGCCGGATCTTACGGGATAGAC